TTAAGCCGACAACGGTTTAACGCTGGGGGCTCGCTCTATTTCCTTCTGTATAAATCATGCTTGTTTACGGTTTACATAATACCTGATATTTACATCTGCTCGTTATATCCTGATAATACTAGAAGATCCATGCAGTTTTTTGAGTATATACTCGATTTTATCTACTATATATCTTGTCTTCTAGATAATTCTACTCGTTCGCTAGTCCTCGAACCAGTGCGTAGCAATCTCTCGCACTGCAACTTCCATTGGTGTTCGAGAGATAATTCTACACGTTCGCTGGCCCTCGAACCAGTGCGTAGCAATCTCTCGCACCGCAACTTTAATTGGTGTTCGAGAGATAACTCTACACGTTCGCTGGTCCTCGAACCAGTGCGTAGCAATCTCTCGCACCGCAACTTCCATTGGTGTTCGAGAGATGATTCTACTCGCTCGCTGGTTCTCGAACCAGTCGACAGCAGCAATCTCTCGCATCGCAACTTCCATTGGTATTCGAGAGATGATTCTACTCGCTCGCTGGTTCCCGAACCAGTCGACAGCAGCAATCTCTCGCACCGCAACTTCCATTGGTGTTTGAGAGATAATTCAACTCGTTGGTTCCCGAACCAGTCGACATCAGTAATCTCTCGCACCGCAACTTCCATTGGCGTTCGAGAGATAATTCTATTCGCTCACTGGTTCTCAAACCAGTAAATCGTAGCAATCTCTCGCGCCTTAACTTCAGATGGTCGAGGTACGACTACGACTAGTCTTCGACCGGCAGCAGAGTAACGGTCCTAGCACCACGACTTCAGATGACTTCAGATGGTTGAGGTACGACTACGACTGGTCTTCGACTAGCAGAGTAGCGGTCCTCGCACCACGACTTCAGACGACTTCAAATGATCGAGAGACACCTACTCACTGGTTCTCAACCAGTCAATCATAGCGATCTCTCGTACAATTATTTCTAGTGGTTGAGTTTAGACTACATCTGGTTCTCGACCAGCGGTGTAGCGATTCTCCCACTACCTTTACTTCTAGTGGTCGAGTTTAGAGTACATCTGGTTCTTGACCAGCGGTGTAGCGATTCTCCCACTATTTCTACTTCTAGTGGTCGAGTTGCGACTACCACCTGGTCCTCGACCAGAGATGTAGCGATTCTTCCATTACCTCTACTCCAACAAAGTTGACATCAGATACACAATATCGCCAAGTGTTTTACCCAGAGATCCCTTACCACAAAAGACACCTAGCGTTGAAACATATCCTACTATCCCTTTACGCCGTCTTGACAAGGCCTCCGAGGAACCTAAGGAAACTTCGGTTGGGGACGCCCAGAGTCGATAAGGCCTTGTTGGATCCTTCAGAGACGAAAGACCATGTAAGATCTGGTCGTGTAAGAGTTCTCGCAGTGCGTATTAACCAAGCCGTGTAATCGGAAATGGATTTTCCAACTTCACGGCTGGGGGCTAGGATCAATGCTTGTTCAACTGAGGCAGGTCCAAGGTCCAAGAGCCTTATCTTCCGAGAACGATTCTCCGATGACAAGGCTGGGGGCTAGGGAGAGTGTATAACTCAACAAACTGACTAATCGAAGTCGGTAAAAGAGTAGACGCTCATATACAAAACATTGGTCTGTAAGTTTAATTCATTTTCGGTTTTCCATACATATATAACATGTCACCCTTTGAGCATTCGTTCGGGGGCTATTTCTATCTAATATTTTTTTCTGAGTATTGATTTCAGGAAAATTCTAGCCGACATTATCGAAGACCGCATGTCTCTATGGTTCTACACCAAGATCGACTAAGGCGAGTATGAAAAATGTCGACAAAGCTCCGTCGTAGATTCTGCGCCTTCTTGATCACTCGAGAACGGTTGGTGGATCTCGACAAGGAATACAGAATGAAGAAATGGTGTACCCGCCGAGATAAAATTTCTTGACTTCAATCCAAATTCTCGATTACAGCAAGACGGGAGACTTAGTCGTATGCTCTGTACTTTCTCGGTTGACATCAGAGATTGACTCAGACAAACCCTTTAGGTGCCCGCACGAGGCTGACAAAGGAAGTCTAACGTTATCTCTGAACTCACCAAGAACGGTCACGTGAGCTCGATAACAGTTCCTCCAAGGTCTGCGGTTGGGAATATGAACTCGTTCATTTGCATTGAAGTCAGGGGCTACTGTCAGGGTTATGGATACCACATACCTAATAGTAGTTGACTAAATCTCGGCAGAACCTACCACATAGCATGTTCTATACGGAAATAACCTGCAGATATAGGAGGAGTTCCAGATAAGGAAATACAACCAGAATTCTACATGGAAACGACAAGGACTACTCGGATTGTATCCATATTGGTTTCCCTAGTTCTACTTGGACAAGGGAACACCTATGGGTATAAATACAAGCCCCCCTAGAAGTAGAGGGGAGACAGACAACATAGAGGATCAACACCCAACACAATCAACATAGAAGCCACAACATAGAAGCCTACATACGCCAAGACACGCCGTCGGATATCGACTTCGGAGATAGGCACGGCTAGTCCCCTACGGTGTCTCTGGATATTGTCAGGAGAGACGAAAGCGCTATCTCTGATCTCGCCGGGTACGGATTCAAGGAGAAAGGCTACCCTGTTGTCGATTACGAGTCAGATCATCAGACCGCCATGTCGACAACAGTTAGATAGGCTACCCCAAATATTGTACTGGTGTGATTATCATGAATAAGAGCAATACCGGATTCGGCCAACAGGATGTAGGGTTATTACCTGACAATTCAGGGGCCCGAACCTATATAAAAATCCTCGTCTCCATCTCTTTTACCTCAGTCTCGCGTATATCCTAGTACTAACGATCCCCATACCATGCAAATACCGTAGTCGAGACATCAAACGTCGACAATACCGCCCAAAGATGATTAAAAATGTATTTATACCATCCAAAGATGATTTGGGTGGGAATTGCTTATATGAAGTATATATTGGGTGCCTATAAAAAAATTATATATTGGGTGGGAATTGCAAGACCTGGATAGTATAACAAGGTGGGAAAGGTAGTATGTTTCCTTTTCTTGAGTAGGGAGTGGTTATACCCAGGCAAGTTTACACGTTCATTTTTATCAGAATCGGTTTTTCTATTTTTCTGATTTTTTTTTGTTCGTTCATACGACTAACACCCTCGTTTTTACGCTTTTCAAACGGCTAAACGGTGTGTTTTTTTATAACAATTTTCTATACGAAAGTTACATAAAAAAATCGTATTGATCCATTTTCTAAAAAAAGAATTAGCTAATACTTAACTAATCACGCTATAATGGACCACTCTATTTTCCATGCGGGAGTGAGTTGCTCCAAAAGTAACGAACACATCCTAAATTTAATCGTGCCAACAAAAAGAGAGAGAGAAAAGAAAGATGGGACTGGGCCTGTTTGACGCTAATTTAGAGTATTAAACATAAATTGATTACAAAACCCATTTCATAACCTTAAACTAATTCGCGAGACGAATCTATTGAGCCTAATTAATCCATGATTAACATATGTGATGCTATAGTAAACATTGGCCCCGTTCGAATCCTCTAGAAAGAGAGGATAAACTTTTGGATTTTCGTGACACGCTTTTCAAACTGCTAAACCGTGTGTTTCGTGTGAAAACTTTCTATATGAAAGTTATTCTAAAATGTCATATTAATCCATTTTTCAAGTTTGTAGTAATTAAAGCTCAATTAATCACACGTTATTACCACATCGTTTTACGTGAAACACTTGATCTTAATCTTCATCTTAAGAAGATTCAAACACCACCATTATCTAATTATAGATTAATTAGACTTAAAAAATTTATCTCGCAAATTAGCTGCTATTTATATAATCAATTTTATATAAGTAGTCAGTGTCAAATATCCTACATGGTACCAGGGTTTCCCAAACCGCCGGGGCCAGGGTTACCGTGCCTCGGCGGTAAGCACGGTTACCGCGCGGTACCGCGGTAACCGTGAAAAACTGTATAAAATCGTGCAAAATTTATCAAAAATTCAAATTATTTTTTAAATTTATTTGAATTTGAGGAGGTTATCACGGTATTTATATTACCATACCCCCGCGGTAAGCTCGGTAACCACGATAACCACGCAGTTACCGGGGTAATGTAAATCCTGGCACAGAATAAAGTTTAGTCCTCGTCCAAACACGACACCACCAAAATCTTTTAGCGTCTAGAACCATTGTGCGTGAGTATCTCTCTCAAGGAGAAAATTGACATTGTGCCATTCTCAAAAGTGGGTTTCGTCCAAATACCACGCTGGGAGTGGGCTTTATTAAAATGCCACTTTCAATCGAAGACTACACGCTATAATGCTCGAACGGACAAAAATACCCCTGTTACTACCTTCTTCCACCTCTGACAAGGGATGCCTCGCCGGCTCGCCTCTGGCACGCCCACCTCATCCGCCTCCACCTCCGCTCCCCTTCCTCCCTGACAACCCTCGCTTCGTCCACCTCCACCTCCGCACCACTTCCTCCCCGCCTCGAACGTCCCCAACCGATGACCCCGTGGTCACGCTCCACGCCATCCGCGCCACCGACGCCGACGTCGGCGGTCTCCGTCTTTCGTGCCAACCCGCCGTCCTAGCCACTCCCGTTCTTCCAGACGGCGGAGGCGCACCCGCACGGCGGAGTCGTTGGTGGGCATGGCCATGGCGAAGGCGCGGCGCGGTGGTCATCGGAGGTGCAGGCGACGGCGGCTGTGTGCCGGGACGGGTGCGAGGGCTCGCGGAGGGCGGGGCTGGGATGGGGGCGGATGGGAGGGGGCACGGGGACGGGGAGCCATGGGAGGGGTCCCCGCAGGGGCCTTTGGCCTGTGGTTCTCCATGGAGGAGAGCTCGCGCGAAGGCAGATGGTGGCCGCCGGCGAGAGCTGATGGTGATGGAGGGAGGAAGAAGATGAGAGGAGGGTAATTTGGTCCGAGATAGTATTTTAGCGTGTAACCATGTGTTGAAAGTGGCATTTTAACGAAGCCCACTTCCAGCATGGCATTTGGGCGAAACCCACTTTTTGAGGATGGCACAATATCAATTTTCTCCTCTCTCAAGCCCCTCCGCCGTCCCCTCTTGCGTTTTGGCCGTCTCGTCTCCGCTCCTCGCGCCCTGCGCCGATCTCCATCCCGCGAGCAGATCAGGGTCGGCGATCTCCATCTCGCGAGCAGAGGGGGACGCCGCCGTTGTCCCTGCTGCTGCTTCCGCCACATCCCGGTGAGCATCCGCATCCGCATCCTCTTTCTCATTCACCCCCCCCTCTCTCTCTCTCTCTCTCACCCACTTTTTGTCTCGATTTTGCTTGCGTGAACCCTAGCTTCTTCTCTTCTAGATCTGGAAGAAGCTTTTCTCTAAATTTGAGAGCCCTAACCTTAATACAAGTAACAGTTTGTTTTTCCCCCCAAAAAAGTAACCCCCATGTCCGCCCCTGAATTACTAATCGATGGATGCAGTAGGACTCTGCTGTGGAGAACAGTTCGAGAATTATAGAATTATTATATGACAGGCTTGACTGTTAAGCATGTTTGTTCAACTCTGCATTTATTAAATGTGAATCCCCATGCTTTCGGTGGTACACTGCTGAGGCGCACTCTTTTTGGTATAGCCAATAGATCATCTGTTTCCTGTATAGCGAGCGGTATCCAACTGCTTGGATCTATCTGAGCATCTAGAAGTGATAACTTTCATAATGGTGTTGCAATACTATGTCATTGTCTTGTAAATATTTAGTTCAGATGTTGATCAATGATCCACTGATCTTTCGGCCTGTTTAGATCCCACCCCAAAATTTTACACCCTGTCACATCGAACATTTGAACACCTACATGAAATATTAAATATAGGCTAAAAAATAACTAATTACACAGATTGCGACTAATTTGCGAGACGAATCTTTTAAGCCTAATTGCTCCATGATTTGACAATGTGGTGCTACAGTAAACATTTGCCAATGACGGATTAATTAGGCTTAATAAATTCGCCTTGCGGTTTACTGACGGATTCTGTAATTAATTTTCTTATTAGTGCCTAAACACCCCATGTGACACCCTATATAATATCTGATGTGACGCCAAAACTTTACACCCCTGGATCTAAACACCCCCATGATGTTCATTCCATGAACAAAGGGCTTTCCTGAGATGAATGTATCCCCATCTTCTGTTTTTCGATTGCATCATGCTATGTTCTGTTGCTGATGTTATCACATTTCAAGGACAGGATATCCCCTTTAATGATCTCTTTGGTTGGTTCATGTTTTGTTGTTGACACATCTTTGGCCCAACAGCCAAATATAAAATAATTGGTCAACATAATGCTTTTTGAATTTTGAATTGCAGCATTTTGAGCAATTAAGGAGGTGTCAACATTCAGTACAAGAAATGGTATGCTATGATTCTCCTATTTTAACGGTCTGTGTAGTCTTGCATTGTATAGGTATGCATTCCTTTGTGCTTAGTTTGCTTACCCCCACTCTGTTCATTTGTTGCAGACTTACATAAGGGATGAAGATACAAGACTTGAGACCACTCGGGCGAGGCGTAATAGTTCCCTCTTTCTTTAGTTGGAAACAATTCTTTTCTTGGGGGCTTTCTGTTATTAAGGAATCCAAGAAAGCAGTTTAGGCATAATTTTGAACTTCTGTTTTGCAGTGTCGAATGTTCTCAAAAGGCATGAAGATTTGAAAGAGCGCCTCTCACGGTACTCCCTTTTGCATGTTCTTTAGCATGTAACATCTGCATCTGTGCATAAGGAAATAATTTAATACCCTATTCAAACTGCCAGCAAATTTATTGACCATTTTTTTTTATTGAAGAACAGATTCTAATTGAAACCAAACTCTTGCATAAAACAAATATCTTATGAGATGGATACTTCCCCTCAAATATGGCTCCTCTAATATGTAAATATGAATTACTTAGGATTTCTTATAATCGTATTTGTTGCAGCTATGTTCCTGATAACTAGGCTTACTATTGAATGGATTTTATCTTCCTGTCATATTTCTGAATTCTGATAAACATATGAATGCATGGGCTAAGCTTTTACTTTGTTTCAGGGATTCTGATAAACTGATTTTTGAGCGGCTACAGAGAGAATTTGAGGCTGCACGAACTGCCCAAACTGAAGGTACAGTTTGCTAACATTACCATGAATCTTTGTGAGATTCTACTAGAAGAAATAAGCTTACCAATGATTATCAATATCCATGTAATTGTATATTTGTGCAATCTCCTTTTCCTTTAAGTTTGCATATTTTAGTATTCTTTGCTGCATATTCCTTGGTTAAGATCAACTTTGTACAAAATCAACCTCCACAAAGACTGCTCAATTTGCAAAATAATGCTCGCCGAGCCATTTCTGATTTCTTTGCATTTTGAACTTTGAAATTCCAAATGGTGTTTTAAATTTCATCTCTCAAGTTATGAAACTGCATTTTGGACTAAATTAAAAAAAATATGGACACAAATGTTCATAAGATAGAATTTAATGTGGTCACTGTTCAGTTTTTTTTCTTTTTTTTTCTTGAGCACACAGGAGTCACCTGTTTAGGTTGCTCCTTGAATTCCGTATAAACCATGAACTAACAAGAATCCATGCATGTGCATGGCTGAAACTATTGAGCGGTTACTGAAAAATTAAAGAGCTTTGTTAGTGACATTTTTTTGAATTCAAAATCATTAATACAGAACATAAAATATAATTGTAAGGTAAGAAATGCTAGCTATTTGCAATCCTAGCTACGAATTTTGCATTGAAGGAGAGAGTGAGATTATTATTCTGTTAATGCTTCTGTTCACAATAATTCTTTTGTTGTCATATTTTTATTTGAGTAAAGTGCACGGGCGGTCCTTAAACTTGCAGGGGTGTGTCATCTAGGTCCCTAAACTCTCAAAATATATATCCAAGTCCAAGAACTTGTCATAGGGTGTCATTTAGGTCCCAAATCGCCCCAGCCCCTATAGGATCCTACGTGGCACTGATGTGGCATGCCACACGGACAAGACGTGGCATCATTTTGACTAACAAATGAAACCCATTTATCTTTTTCTTCTTTTCTTTTCTTATCTTTTCCTCCTCCTCCTCTTTTTTTTCTTTCTTCTCCTTTTTTTTTCTTTTCCCGAGTAGAAGAAAAAAAGAAGAATGAGAAGAAAACGAAGAAAAAAGAAGGGAAAAAGAAGAAAAGGACATATCACGTCCATATGGCATGCCATATCAGCGCCACATAGGATTCTATAGGGGCTATGTCGATTTGGGACCTAAATGATACACTTTGACAAGTTCTGGAACCTAGATGTGCATTTTGAGAGTTTGGGGACCTAGATGACACAACCTTACAAGTTTAAGGACCGCCTATGCACTTTACTCTTTTTATTTCAATAGTCTTAGACTATTTGGAGTAACTTCTGAGATGTACCATCCATATCGAGTTCCAACCTATCTTGGAAGGATGTACCATCCATATTGAGTTATGTAGTCTTTGAAAAGGTGGACTACATTGTACTAAACTACTACTACTCTTGTCAGTTGTCACCCAGTAAATTTTAGTTTTTTCTTTGTGTCTATAAGAACATTGGATAAAATTTCTTGGTTGATCACTAGGACAAAATACATGCAACATGTTGATGTGGTTTCTTCGACAATCCTCTGTGCTGCACCTTTGTAGAGTAGCTCTGAATGTAAGTATGTAACTGAAGAAGATGGTATGTTTCTGGTATTCACGACCGACAAATCTTCTTCATTTTTCTTGAGGGCATAAATCCTGTTTGGTTCTATACCTATGTTAGTCCTTCCAAAATTTGTAGTGCCCTTAACATTTGGCCACTAAAGTTTGCTTCCAGAATCTGGTACCTCTTCAAAACTCGGCAATGTTCAAGTGATTCTAGACACAGGTTCTTGTATTTTGTTGGTTGGTCAAATCCTCAGCGGCTCTGCCTAGGAATTCCCAGGGCTGCTGCTGCTGCTGCTGCATGCTCATGTAATTTGAGTGATTGGTTGCAATTAATGCATTATTGGTTTGGTTGTCAAACTTTGTGTCCCATTTAAACCATCATGTTCCTTCTGACAAAATCTATGAGACAAGATAAACCTTTGCTATGTTGGGACATTGCAAAACATTAGGTATCATATGGCCTCGAACTATAGTCAAGCCAAAGAGAATTTTGATGTCTAGATGGCTTCAAATCAAATTGTCTCACGATTGCAATCCAATCACATGTGCTAACAAAGTTTTGGTTATGTCTTATTTTGGTTGTGACAAAATTTTGGCATGGCACAGCACTATTACAGACCAAATGGCCCCATATATATATAGTTTAGTTTGGTCACATGGCTTTCATAGGCCAATACTACAAGTCATAACTATATGCACAGTATAACACAGCATGGTGATATATTTATGCTCGTCTTCTGATTGAAGATTACATTAGTTGGGCTTTTTTTCCCCATTTGATAGTTTCACACTCCGTATACCTGCTTTGCAAACTAATGCCTTATTTATCAATTTTCTCGAGACAACAAAAAATCAAATATATGAGCTTTAGTTATTGCTAGTGTACAGGTCTTTTCTTTTTTTTTTTTTCTTGTGGATCCCGGAAATGCTGTTATATTCTCAAACTTCTTTTTACAACCATCATGGCACACAGTTAGTCTTATCATACTAGTATCATCATTTTAATTAGCTTTTATCCTCCTGCTTCAAACCATTGTTTATCCTCTTATGCCATCTTTTTATCCTCCTGCTTTAAACCATCTTTTTTTGTTAAACTTTCTACATCAATGTTTTTTCATTTTGTAGAGATCCCAATAGATGATGAGCAGTGGAACGATGGTTTGCTGGCAACCATCCGTGAAAAGGTACTTAATCAGAGCACCTTAATGTACTCATCTCTCTTGTGACAAGAGACGTATTATCTGTTTGGTGCATTTTGAGTTTTGTATGAATTTGCTTGTCTCGTAGACCAGGTCCATATGGAGGCTGATAGGAAGGCCATGGCTAACCAAGCAAATGTTCCAGCAGATCCTCAATTCCAGTCAAGGACTACATATAGAGTAAAAAACAAGGTAAAACAGGTAGCATTATTCTCAGAGTAGTGATTTGTTCATGCTATATTGCCCTTTGTGTTGCGTTACTTCACCATTTGGTCCTCCAAATGCTTTCTATGTAAAGTTAGATTAGTAGTGGTAGATTAATGTCGTCTGGGCTGAGTGTGTTTGTGATGATTTTTCATTCCGGGTTCTGCACTTAGAGTAGGTAAAACATCCGCACTTGTGATCACCACAAGTTCTAGCAATCACACACCATTTGAGGTGCCTTTTACCAGATCGTGTATTGCCGTGCAGTCCTTAGGAATCAATAAAAAGTAATTTATGTAGGTACTAGGTCCACATTATGTTAATGTTTCCTCAGATGAAATTTATCTTCATGACATGAATGAAGGCTTGCCATGCTATTTTTCAGCAATACACCTATTCTGTTCTATTTTTCTTAATTTGATTTTTATCCTGCCACATCAAAACTAAATTTCTTCCCTTTGATAGGTTATCTATTGTTTGGATGGTGCGAGAATTGGTATACAGTATGAGACTTATTTTGCTGGTAACTCATTTTTCATTCTCAGTTTTTATTTTTATTTTTTTAACTGTACCATGTTATATGCAGATTTAGTGTTTTACAAGGCTGGAGAGCACATTTACTTTGCATCAAACTGTTTTAATCTCTTTGTTTTGGCATTTTGGAAACTCTGATATAGTTATACGGAAAACTGGTACATAAAGCATATGTCATATCTCTAACCACATTATTTGCTGTTCTAAATAAACATGTTATTTTGCAGGAGAACCTTGTGAAATTTATCATTGTGTTTTGGAAAGCAAGTCATTCCTTGAAAAGATGACTGTGATTGAGCACACCTTACCTTTCTTTCTGCCAATACGAGAAGTAGAAAGTGAATTTCTATCATCTAATGCTATTGTATGTTTTCTAACTGAACTTGCTTTTTATATGCCAATTATTTGCACGTCTTTGTACTTACATGGAGCTTTTTCTTACAGAAATTTATTGATCATCTTGAAGAGATTTTGCAGTCTTATGTTGACAGGAGGGAGCAGGTCAGATATATAGATATATTATTACTTCCCATATCTTCCACTATGAAATGCTAAAAGCAGATGACCTTGTGCATTGTGCTAAAATAACATAGTTGGAGTTAAAAAAATACTGATGTTTAAAAGTGGGCCCAGTTCATCTTTCTCTGTGAAGCATAACTAAATGTGGTTTCTGAATGTTCGTTTTGCTGAATTGACAACTTGAAAGATTACTTGGTTCATGTTTATATTTGTTCAGTTTGTAAATATGCATAACACAGGACATGTTGCAAAGTGAACCTTAATATTTCTTGTTCTGCTTTTAATGTTTAACATGCTTTTATTACCAGAAAATTAGATAGGCAAAATCTAAAGGTATAGCTTTAGCAGCTTTTTGGACCTTTGCACCATTGCAGCTAGTTTAGGCTGTGCTTAGTTCACGCCAAAATTGGAAGTTTGATTGAAATTGGAACGATGTGACGGAAAAGTTGAAAGTTTGTATGTGTAGGAAAGTTTTGATGTGATGGAAAAGTTGGAAGTTTGAAGAAATAGTTGGGAACTAAACTAGGCCTTACTGAAGAACACGTAAAATTGGAAATTATCCTACTTCTATCTAGTTGCATTCATTCTACTTATGTGGGAACTTCTCTTTATCTTCTTCCGTACGTAATTTACAGATATGTGAATTTAATTCTTATGTACAAATTAATGCAAACTATTTTTTGGACATCCAGCTGGGAACCATCTTTGAACAAAAATTATGCATTTATTTATTTATTTTGACAAAAAAAAGTGTGCTCTGCTGGTCTACTCAGTTATTTACATTACATAACTTTAACAGTAAATTGTCAATTCTAATATTTTTATTATTTCATTTTCAAGGTTCGGCTTATCAAGGAACTATATGGGAACCAAATTGGAGAACTGTTCCACAGTCTCTCTTACAATTTGATAGAATTTGTAATGGAGGATTTTGAGTGGTAAGGATAATTTATACTTTGCTAATTTTCTTTTAGCTTGTTCGTACTAATGTATAACTGAACGTAAGCATGCAACGTAGTTGCCTGTATTATTTGGAGTATTTTGACTTCATTGTCCAAATGTCCAGTCCATTTGCTTTATAGGCTGCACGTTATACCTCTTCCAGACACTGAAAATTTCCCCCCTTTTTCCCCTTGAGCAGCAAGGTTACAGTCAGTATCCGATACTCAGATCTATTGTTCACCCTGCCAAGTCAGGCCAGGGTCCTGGCTTGGCCACTTCGCTCTTCGCGGGGAATATCAGTAACTGAGCGCAGAGCTAGTCGCTCAGCATCTGCTCAACTAGTACCGTTCCGCCTTCCCTACGCCGAGGATGCGCTGAAGACCTTGAGTTTGCCAGAAGGTACATCCTATTCCGCATATTACTTTTCCCCAATCGTTATAGCAGGTGATATTTTGTGCTGAACTTATCTTGATCTGTATTCTCGCTCTCCGATTCAGCGTTTGCGGAGATTGTGCTGAGCCTACCCCGTGCTCTGAAGCGGATACTCTCTTCTCAGGAAAGTGATTGATGCGTGTACTAGGAGTTTTTGGTAATGAGACTCATGGACGCAGAAGCTTTCGGTGCTATATGCAGAGTATTCGGTGACCTTACTGACGAGATACAAAATGTTCGGCAGTATTGTTTAGAATATTGTAGTGTACAGTTGTTACTGTCTAGAAAATGCGATTGCTGCGAAGCCAGTTGGATAACAAGAAACACTGCTTTCAACCATCCATGTAATATTCGTGCACAGCAAGCACGGAAGCAGATTTCATACCATGACAGGAGTATTGTATGTGAAGTACCAACATGCAGGGTTCATAAAGCCAACGAAAGGCGATCGGTTTTCACGGTTTTTCGATGTTTCGACAAGGCTTCGATAGGAATTTCAAATGCTTTCGGACAAATTCAAATATTATACAGTAAATTTGGTCAAAATTCGGCCGGAAAAGCAATAGAAATTTGTTAAAAACCATGATACTGACGAGGCTCGAAATTTAGTGGTAAAACCTTTCAACGTTTCATCCCAACCGTTGCGTGGTAAACCATCAAATCACGAGTAGAAGGATTCCCCAGATATAAGTCGGAACAAATTCATTTGTCAGGTATTTCCTGGAGTGGTGTACCTACCAAAGCTGTAACTCTAATGACTAACGGTTATAAGTAAATTCACCACATAGAAATTTGGATAGTGGAATAGAACATCCTAACAGACGAACCTGAATACACACACACACACACACACACTTTTTACAAGTTTTTTTTCTCGTGCCAACTGGAATGAAAATAAGATAGTGCAACAATTTGACAATGATTACTATTTACCGTGTTACTTATTAGACTGTAAATTACTTTTGAATGATTGAATTTTGATGAATGAAAGTTGTGTGGTTATTTGTGACGCTACATATTTTTAAGTGTTCATATCTTTTTTTTAAAAAAAAAAGTGAAATATGAAAGCAAATAGTGCCGGTGTCAATTATTTAAGAAGAGAGGTAGTAATTTAGTATAGCTTTAAAACAAAAATAAAATACTCACTTCGTTTTAATAATTGTCACTACCACTATTCAACTTTGATCTTTTTCTTTTTTCTTAAAGAATTTATAAATACTTGAAAATATATTATACTATTGAACTGTGTAGTGCTGCTAATATAACCATGAAACTTTCACTCGTCACAATATAATAAAATATACTACCTCTGTTTCATAATACAAATCATTTTGACTTTTTTCTAGTCAAACTTTGATCAAATTTATAGAAAAATACAGCAATATTTTCAACACAAAACAAACATACTATCAGAATATATTAGATACTAGTTATTATAAAACTAATTTGGTTTTGTAGATGTTGCTAAATTTTTCTATAATCTCGGTCACACTTAAAAAAGTTTAACTAGGAAGAAAAATAAAAAAGATTTATAATATGAAACGGAGAGAGTAGTTACTTAAAAGAAATTTTGTAGTTAAAGTGAGACGGTCCTAGTGTCAGTTATTTAAGAAAGATGAAGTATTGTTAGGCTTTCTTTAAAAAAAAGGTATTGCTTAGGCTGCGTTCGACATAGCATTTTGGGCTTTTGGCAGAGCAACTCAATGGCATACGAAACTAGGGGCATGTTTAGATTCATGTTATTCTGAACCATACCATTATTTCTTAAAATTGACAAACATATAACAATATTAGTTTATTACCAAATATTGGTCATAGCTAGAGATTTTGACAACATCATATTTAGCCAATCTTACCTAAAGTTATTAATGTTACCAATTCCAAATTTTGGAAATGTTGAAAATGGCTACAAAGTGAACAAGACCTATATTAGAAATTAGCACGTGATTAATTGAGTATTTCAAAAATAAATTTATTTAACTTTAAAAATCTTCCTAAAAATACTTACTAAGAGAAAACGAGAAAGAGAAAACGAGAAAGTTTCAGTTTTCAGTTGGAACTCAGCCTTAGGCTGCATTCGAAGGATATTTTCATTCGCACACGAAACAAGAAAAAAAAATTAGTGTACTAATCAATTAAAGTATTAACTATTAAAAAACTCGATGGACTTAGAAACTTTTTATATATTTTTTTTTCAAAAAAATGTGTTGTTTAACATTTTGAAAAGCGTAAAAAAGCCTATTCATTTAGGAGGAAAACCAAAGGATTTAGATTCTTAAGGATTAATTTATATGAGTGTCATTCGGTTTATAGAAATGTAGGTATAAAAAAACCAAAGGAAATTTTCTTTCCCACAAGTCAAAGGAAGAAAACATATGAAATTTTCTATCCACTCAAACCTCTTATGTGCAACATTTATATTACTCTACTTTTTCGGTTCTATATATTTTTTTAGAGAAGGGTATTTTTACTCGGCCTCTATATCCAACCGGATATATGCTACTTTTTCGGTTCTATATTTTTTTTAGAGAAGGGTATTTTTTACCTGGCCTCTATATCCAACCGGATATATGCAACCTTTTTTTAATTAGGAACTTAGCCTATTAAATACATAACTTAGCTATCAAATAACCCAATATGAAATTCGCTCCTATGGAGATTTAAACTCAGAATCTTAGGGTTCTACTAAGCTTACTGTAATCACTAGGCTACATGCCCTTTCACAGAAAACATTTTCGGTTCTATATGTTAGAATTGTTCCAAGCTCTAACAGAAAACAAGAAATTTGTACATCCTCCGTCCTAATATATAAGAGATTTCTGTTAGATGAGACATATCCTACTATTATAAATAGTTTTATTCAGATTTATAGTATTATAATATGTCCAATTCAACCAAATCACTTATATTTTAGGATGTAGGGAGTAGTTTAGAGTCAAGAAAATAAACAGGCTCTTAGCCAAAGTCAACAGGCGTTAGAGTGTGAACAAGCAGAATTAAGCCCCTCATTCAGGGGCAAAACAGTAAAAGCGTACTGCCTTTTCTAAAGGGATCCGAGGACAACGGGAGGCCCCTTTCCCTCCCTCTCTCGTGAAATCCTTCTGGCATGTACCTACACCTGGTTCACTACCCCTTCCCCCACTGACCTGTGGGCCCACAAGTCAACCCCTTCACCGGGTGCACGAAAAGCTCGGTGCAGCTATACCTTTTCACAAACCTTTTTCTACTGTATTACTCCCTCAACACTTGATTACCTGTTTTATTAATTTTTTTATAATTAATATTTTTATTGCTATAGATGATAAAATATAAATAATACTCTATACGTGATTTATTTTTTAATTTTTTTATAAAGTTTTTAAATAAAATGAACGTCACATAAACCCTTACAACTACACTTAAAATACTACTAGGATGGAGCGAGTACTATTTTGAGCTAGAAATACGCCGCTGAAAAGTTGAAAAAGAGATTTGAAAAAGGAGAAAAAAAATCACGAAAAAGCGCGGAACAAAAGCTTCTCCCCCTTGTCGCCCGCAATGGCGTCTCCCACTCGCAGCCTTCTCCTCCTCCTCACTCCCCCACACGAGCTCCGCCGCCTCCCCATCCCCCCCGGGAACCCTACACTCCTCCCCGCGCGGCCGGTGATGGCGTCGACCCCGCCGCCGCCGCCGGTGATAGGCAAGGCGGGCAACCTCACGGTCTTCATCACGCCGCCGTCGCCGTCGGAGGCGGAGGCGGAGGGGTCGCCGGACTCCCCGCGGTCGGAGTTCACCACCCCCAGCGGATCCCCCCGCGCGGCCGAGGATTCGACGCCGCCTCCTTCTCCGCCGCGGGCCGGAGCAGCCGCCGGTCAAGGAGGAGGCGCCGGCGTCCTCCCCGCAGCTGGCCACCCCGCCGCCGGTGAAGACGGTCTCACCGCCGCTGCCCGCCGCGAAGCTCTCCTCCGCCGCCGCCCCTCGGCCTCCGCCGCCGGTGCAGGTGCCACTGCCTTCCGCGAAGCTCTCGGCCCCTAGGCCCCCGCCGACGCCGCCGCCGGTGCAGGTGCCGCCGCCGCAGTTCGAGAAGGCGGAGGCGAGGCCCGATGGATCCATGCTCGCCTTGTTCTGGGACACGGTCGCGCGCGTGCAAGAAGGTGGGTGATTGATTGAATCCCCCCCGGGCGCGAGAGATTTGATTTTCTCTCCGATGGCCGCCTCATTGTGTGGTTTCGAAATTCGAATTCGATTCGTGGGTTTTGAAATTGATTTGGTGAGCATTTATCGCTGCAGCGCACGCCAGCTTGGACGAGTACATCTCGAACTGGTTCGGGCTGGATCAATCCAAGTACCAGTGGGCTCTCAACGAGTACTATGAGAGCAACGGAAAGGTTCTCGCCTCCACTCTACCCCTTCTGCAAAATTTTTTTGTTCTTTCAGTCTTGTTACTTTCAATTTGATGGTGTAAACTGCATCAATGCTTTGCACGGATAGCGAAATTGTGGTGATTTGAGCGTGAGTTTAGCAAAGATCCATCTGTCCTGTGGCTCAGCGTTGGGAGTTGGGATGCAGCTGTCTCTGATCCTGTACTGGAGTGGAATCTTGTAGCCCATTCGTGATTCCGTGTGGTTTATAATTGTCGGTGGTGGTAGGCCTGTAGCTGTCACCGTTTGTAATCCTAAGTGCGGCGATTTAGTGCTACTTAAGGGTTACAACATTACAGGATGCTGGTAGTAGTGGGTGGGTAGTATTATGGTTGGTAATCAAGCCCAAAGCTTCTGTGGAGAATGTAGTTTTTGGATGGTGGTGGTGCTAGTCAATTGTGATTTTTCTTTCCCTGTATTGTTTCTGACCCATGTACTGCACTAAAATATCATGCATCTCCCTATTCCCCGTATTGTTTTCTGACACATGTATTGCATTGCACATCATCTTTTCCCCTTTTGATCTACCTAATATTCTTTTCTTGGTGGTCTACCATGCATGGGCTGGATTAAGTAATGTATGGTCACTTGGTCAGTACTGGAAGCACAACTTGTTTGCCACTGGATGTGTTACTTACTAGTACCTGATTGGCTGATTATTATTAGTTCTTGCTAAATTGGTTCTTAAATATGTTTGTATGGTGAAACTGATTTAGATTTAAGTTGAAATGTTGCTTTAGATTCATCTATGTCCTCCCCCCTGTAGATATTGTTGACTGCCTTTGTTAATAAGAAAGGTAGTAATTTGCATTGGTTGTTTGCACACTTTCATTCCTTTGACAATCTCCACATGTATCTTGGGATTTGTCACCTACACATAATTACATTTTATCACCTTGTTTATGGGGATTAGACTATATATCTTAATTACGGATGGTCAATTTCTTCTATTTAAAGCATACATGTTGGGATATGTAGAAGAGTTAAGTCCCTATTTAGAATGCAGAGGGACAGGTACCTCGTGCTTTTAGGAATTGAACTGTTTGCAATATTAGATTCTTCAAAATTCCTGTACTCTGTCATTGCCTAAGTATTGGTATTTATTGTGTATTTATATAGCAGCAAACCATACTAATTCTATTTTTTCACAATTAGTCTTCACTGTGATATGGTAACACACTCTTTTGCTAGTGTTGGTCATAATGTTTCTATGATGTACCAATTAGTGTGTTCCAATAAAAAGTCTCAGATGACATTGATGGATTCCATCATTGAAAGAACCAGGCTTCCAAAATACCTTTCTGAAATCAAAATTTGAAAAGCTAACATGAGCACGAATTTTACATTTAAAAATCTGGATATGATGAGCTAAATGTAGATCAGAGTCTTTTTATCCATCCCCGCAAAGAAAAGGTCTTTCCATACCAATTATCAAATTGGACTTCTTTGTGAAGCTGGTATAAAATTTATTTGGCGTGGCAATACATGCCATTGTACATATCAAATTTTCTTGCTAACATGGACAAAAGAGATCTGATTATTGTAAAAAATGCTTAACATAATATAGAAGTATTTATTGACACCAGTCATATAGCCTGTAACTTCGTACAAGGTTGTGTGAACATGCAGTTGCAGACATATCGTCTGTTATTTTTATCAAGCCAAAGCACGCAGGTCCTATCATTTCTTACCAGACTTCTTATTAGAACATATATCTACAGATATGTGTTTTCTTTTGAACAAAAGAAAAATTCACTATTGTGTGGTGGGGATCCAAATTAGGAAAAAACTTTGTGGAAAGATCTGGTCTTATTTTGGGAATTCCCTATGCCAGGTGCTAGGTGCGCCAGAAGTCATCCTTGTCTTTTCGTTCAATCAGGATTAGCTTTGGATTAATTTCAATGTTAAGCTAGATAAGATTTAGCTCCTAAGATTTTCTGTTTGTTAGCAAGGTTATTAATCGATTTTAGAAGGCAGAACTCCATCAATAAGAAGGATAAGTAGAATTATCGCCAAACTCTCTCTCTCTCTCTCTCTCTCTCTCTCTTGTTCAGCTGTTCACTGTCATGGTTCGGTGGATGCACCATCCTCGCCCTCCCATGGAGCACCATTACTACCTTAGGAGCTTTGGATCAACCCCAGTTCCTAACATCTGGAAAATGAATTTTGCTATTATAGGATATGTTAGTATCTCTTTAGGCTTAAAGTTAATTGCCTAGTCTATACTTCCCTCAACCTAAGAAAATAGACATGCCACGCTCTTTAATTCTTTATCACTTTGAACTTTTATAGTTTTGTTATTGTAGGTGCCAAACTGCCAACATTTAGGCATGTGCTTCGTGTTGGATGCAGACATGGCTTGTTCTTAATTTTCAGTGGCCTATCTACCTTCAGTGATTGCCTACAACACTACTGTATGACCAGAGCCGCTCTGCATTCTGATCTATGTGCTGTGAGCCTGTGACAGTCACAAAGAAAGTAATTCGTGCATTATTGAACTGTGGACACTGAGCACACCAGACAGACTTGACCTGACAATCTGACATCAATGCCGAAGTGGAATGTCGCTGAGTTTATTTACCCATGCAGTTTGTCTGGTCTAGGAGACATTCTTGTCTTGTAATTAAATATTTGGCTTTGCAATCCTTTGGTTCACTGTTATTTAGCATAATCAAGTGTTGCTATATTTTTCTTTAGACAACTGGTATATTTGGGCTCTCCATTTGACTTATTTTTCCCCCTTCTAACTGCATTGCAGGATATGGAGTCAGGGAAAGCTGCGAAGCCGAAGGAACTCGGTAGTAAAATGTAGGTCTAAAAAGCTGGATTACATCTGTATATGTCAATGGGGACATCTCTTCGATTCTCGCCAATTCAGTTCGATTTTATGTCGTATCTGTCTACCATGCAGCAATTCCTTTGTTTGCTTCATTTGTGTAGCTAAGCTAGAGAACTGTGTGAAGTTTCACTGGGAAGTTGATACCTCTTCTGCTGCAACTAGCAGGCCCGGACACAATCTGTAATCTGTTCGTGCCAAAGCGTTGAAAAAAGTCCAGTGCGGCAAAAAGCATTTTGTTGGCTCCTCGCACCAATGTGTAGCCCTACGTATTCTTTACAACATTTTGCGTTGTAATTGCATGGTGCTAATATTCTGCGAATGTTTTCTGTGCTATTTTTTCAAACGCATGTGGTCACAACATGTGCAACAAGCTACCTCTGAGCATTTCTGAAAAACTGGACTGGTTCACTGGTATATCTTGCATTCATGAAGCCATCACTATTGACATACATATCATTAAAAATATAATTAGCATATTTATCGATTTTAAAGTCTAGAATTTAAATTTGGGTGGGCTGAAACTGGTCCAGGATTTGACCCGGATGAACCCGGTCCATCACAACGAACTTGAGCTACGCTTTACTTCACGTTTTCTGTGCTATATATTCATTTATCACTACAATACATAAGCTTTATTTCGATGCTAATGGCGATTAGGTTGCAATCTGTTCTGTGAATGAAATATAATACCGTTGAACAGTGAACACACGATGAGTACATTGGTAATGTGGTTTACAATAATAACCTTGAATGAATTGTACAAAATCAAGTAGACAAGTACATAGCTCAGATTGGCAGTAGGAAACAAGGCGTTTCACTACGCTACAAGGAGCACACTACGATAATCTACCACGCCAATCGCGTACACGGGGATCACCGGGAACACCACCATCACCGGCACAAGCACCACCGGACCGAACTGCACCGCCGCCGCCGCTGCCGTGGAAGATGTCATCGCCGGTGTGTCGCTGTCTCCTGATGAACCGGATGTTGCACCACCGGACGTCGAGGCAGTCGCCGCGTCCGAGCTCGATGACGTCGTCGCCAGCGCCGGCGACGAGGCGCTCCGCCGCATGCCCACGGTGGCGGTGACACGGCTAGTGCTCGTCTGAGTTGCAGCCGCCGTGTCCGTGTTGCCGTCGTTGTCGTCGTCGTCCTCGTCTTCCTCCACCAATGTCGGCAAGAACGGCGACGACGCGCTCCTCCTGAGCGGCGCCGCGGTGGGCGACGTCGACGACGTCGCCGGGGCGTCGTGGGCGGCGAAGAGGAACACGCGGATGCGGCCTTGCTTGGGCTTGCTGGAGGCCATCACCGCCTCGTGGAAGAAGAGCAGCGACACGAGGCTCCACAGGTCGCCGTCGCTCGCCACGTCGTGGAGGTGGAGGCCCTCCTCTCCCGGGAGCGCGTACTGGATGCGGACGTCGTCGGAGTCGGAGAAGCCGGCGAGCGCCGCCAGCCTCGCGCGGAGGCCGGCGAGGCGCTCCGACAGGCCGACCCTGACGATCCGGTGAACTCCCCCGGCGTAGTAGCACGACGCCGCCGCTGATCCGCCGCGCTGCTGCTGGATGATCTCCCCGCCGTAGCTCACCTTCATCCTCACGGCGGTGCCCGAGCCCGACGTCGCCAGCGACGGTGAAGACGCGCTGCGTGGCAACCCCAGTGTAACGGGAGGAGCAGCAGAGGCACTTCCAGATACCAGCACCGGTAACGACGGCGCCGACGCGGTTCGGTGCGGCGGCGCGTCGTGATCGGCGGCGAACAGGAAGACCCTGATGCGGCCGGGCTTGGACGACACGGGCACCTCCTTGTAGTAGAAGAGCAGCGACACGAGGCCCCACAGGTCGCCGTCGTCCGCCACGTCGCGGATGACGCCGAGGCCCTCCCCGGGGAGCGCGTAGCGGATGAACACGTCGGCGCAGCCGGCGAGCGCCGCGAGCCGCGCGCGGAGGCCGGGCAGCCGCTCGGACATGCCGACCTTGACGATGCGGTGGACTCCGCCGGCGTAGTACGCCGCCTTGGCCTTGCCGTCGGCCTGGACGATCGCGCCGCCGTAGCTGATCATCATGCTCACCGAGGCGCCGTAGTCGCCGGCGGGAGCCATGGTCGCGACGGGAAAGCAGCAATCGAAGAGGACGGAATGGATGCGTTGGATGGTCTCTAGCTGGTGAGCGCCGCCGTGCTTTTAAGGAGCGGCGACGTACTCCGACTCCGAATCCGAGTCGAACTCGAACGCTGAGTCCGAGTCCGATTTGGAGTTGGAGGCGGTATATGTCCATAATTGGAAAGGATTGAGAGGGAGGGCTCCAATGTTGCCGTAGGCCGTACTCCATTGCAGAATGTCTTCGAGGAGGTGGTGTTCTGTTCGACGGTGCGGCGGCAGAACGGAGATGGCGCCGGGCCGCCGGCGACGAAGAAGAAGAGGAGGAAGGAAAGGACCGTATAGCCATGGCGCTCACGACGGTGCGCACGCAGGCAGGGGTACGGACAGCGTGGCATGGGGGCCTGGGAGCACAGCGCGAGTTGGCCGGCCACAGAGACAGGGAAATGGCCATAGCTGTGGCCAGGAAAACCAGAGGAAATATGATAAGAATAAGTTCATCTAAGGTCCCTTAACTTGTCAACGAATCCGATTTACGTCCTTCAACCGCAAAACCGGATACAACGGGTCCCTCAACTATCAAAACCGGTGCAGATTAAGTCCCTCGGCGGTTTCAATGGCGGTTTTAGCTGATGTAGCATCTACGTGGCTAATTTGACTCGGTCTCGATCTGACACTGATGTGGACGCTTACGTGGCAATTTGATCCGGAAAAATAATAAACCCCGTAAGACTCGTATGTCAGTTTCACACAAATTAATAAAAGAATGGCGGGCCCCACATGTCAGTCTAACTCACCCCTCCTCTTCTGCTTCCTCTCTCCCCATCTCCCCTCTTTTTCTCTCTCTTGCGACGACGGCGGGGCGAAAATGGAGAAGAGTGGCCGCCGGCCATCTCGCTCTTGCACGCGCTCGCCGGTAAGACTAGGGAGCTCGCCTAGCTCCTTCCCACCGGTCGTCGCCCTTGTCCCCGATGGCTGCCGTGTCAGGGACTCTCCACTGTCAACTGTTGAGGGTGGTGCCATTGGCGGGAAGGATCTGAATGCAGAAGAGGAGGAGGACGTCCAGACTTCTCAAAGCGACATCTCCACAGGCAATGGTCATCGGCCGGTTCGGGAGCGTAGGCCCAACCCAAGAGTGTTAGGCCCTGAATGGGTGGCGTAAGACACCAGCTCGCCTGTGAGCTGTCACGTGAGGGAGAGGGATGTATTAAATCAAACGATGAACACTTGTATGAACGATGAATTGGCAACTGGAGGCGTAGGCGGCGGCGGCTCGATCCTGTCGGATCTGAGAGGAAATACCACATAGTTGCCACAATTTCGCATATATCTGAGTTGTTCTTGAGAGTCCCTAACAATCTGGTATCAGAGCCATTCGCGCTGCAAAATCCTCTTGGTTTAGCCGTAAAATTTCCGGGAGAGAGGTGGGATCCTGCTACCTTGGTGGCGTGTGATCCACAAAAGCTTCGGCTCCCTCAATCTGGTTGGCTGAATTCGGAGCGCTAGCGCGGGTTAGGATCCAGAGTCACACACCAATGGATTTAGACGCCAAGTTCGATCTCTTGTTCAAAACTATTGCAGAGAATGAAAGGAAGAGAGAGGAAGCGGAGGTCCGAACCAGGGCGGAGTACCTGGATCTGAAGAAGTCGGTGGAATCTCGTATTCCGGCGGTGGAGAAGAGGGTAGAAGATCTGGGCGCCTCGCTGCAGTCGCTGAGTACCAAGGTCGAGCACCTCGAGGGCAGTCTGATGCGTCACACCAAGTTGGAGCCAGATGCTAGTACTGCCAAGACTGGGGGATCTGGAATTATCAAGGAAGAGCAGAACCAACCCAACACAGATCTGACTTCCCCTTCTTTCGGTATGAATGAAAATTTTTCTCTATCCCGTGCTCCTTTTGGATTTGAACCTAGAACACCTTCTCTTGACAGTGGAATTGCTAGTTACAATTTGAGTAGCACTATTCCTCCCATGACATGCCCCCAGTTTTGTGGTGACAACCCACAGATGTGGAAGGTTAATTGCGAACAATATTTTGATGTGTTTGGTATCCAGCAAATTCATTGGGTTAAAATTGCTACTCTCAATTTTTGTGGTAATGCCGCATTTTGGTTGCAATCTGTCCGAAATCAGCTTGGTGGTATTACTTGGGTGGGTCTCTGTGATTTAGTGTGTTCCAGATTCTCTAAGGATAGACAACAAGCTCTTATTAGACAATGGTTCCATATCAGACAAGATGGTTCAGTTGCTGAATACGTTGAGAAATTCGATAGTCTAATGCATCAGCTCCTTGCTTATGATAATTCTCTATTGCCAGTCTATTTTGTCACTAAATTTGTGGAAGGGCTTAGAAGTGATATCAGAGTTGTAGTCCTAGTTCAGAGACCCCAGGATATGGACTCAGCTTGTGCTGTGGCCTTACTTCAGGAAGAGGCCTTGGAGGGTGTTCAGTCTACTCAGTATAAAAAACCTGACACCTCAATACCTATTCGCAATAGTCACAAGGGTGCTGGGGTTCTTCCATCCACCTTGCCACCTAAACAATTGTTATCACCACAATCTGAAGATAGGAGGGGCACTGAATCAGCAAGAGCAAGAGATGATAAGCTCTCTGCTCTAAAGGCTTACAGACGATCCAAGGGACTCTGTTTTACTTGTGGTGAAAGGTGGAGTAGAGACCATAAGTGTAGTACTGCTGTGCAATTACATGTGGTCCAAGAATTGCTAGATGCCTTGCAAGATGTTAAAACTGTTGAGGTGTCTGATGGGGAACAGTTTCTGCACTGTGAGGACACCAGTGATTTAATGGCTATCTCTCAGCAGGCTATCTGGGGTACAGAATCTCCTAACTCATTCAGATTAAGAGGATGGGTCCAGGGTACTGAATTACTTATGCTTGTGGACTCTGGTAGTACCCATTCCTTTATGGAGGAAAGTATTGGTCTCAAATTGGCTGGAGTTAAACCCTTGAGAAGCAAGTTATCTGTTAAGTTGGCTGATGGCGAAACTCTTTCTTGCTCATATGAAGTTACCAATTGTAGGTGGTGGATGCAGGGACATAACTTTATTAACAATTTCAGGCTCCTGAACCTTGGTGGTTATGATATCATTCTGGGCATGGATTGGCTGGAACAATTCAGTCCAATGCAGGTTAACTGGGTGGACAAATGGATGGATATCACTATTTCTGGACAGCCTGTCAGGTTGCAAGGTATTGTATCCCAGGTTTCTCATTGCTCTCCTATTTCCACAGAACAATGTCTGGGTATGGTCAGACAAGGATCTCTCATGTATTTGGTTCAACTCACTTCTTCTGACCCTGTGACTAAGGAACCCATTCCTGCTGCTGTACAGCAACTTATTGATTCATTTCAGGCAGTTTTTGCTGAACCCAATGGACTACCTCCTAAAAGATATTGTGATCATACCATTCCTCTTGTCCCTGGAGCAGCCCCTGTTAACTTGAGACCTTACAGATTTAATCCAGCTCTCAAGGATGAAATTGAACAACAGATTTCAGATATGCTTAAGTCTGGGGTTATCCAACCAAGTCATAGTGCCTTTTCTTCCCCAGCCCTTCTAGTCAAAAAGAAAGATGGTACTTGGAGATTGGTGATTGATTACAGAAAGCTGAATGCTATCACTGTCAAAGGTACTTATCCTATGCCTGTTATAGATGAGTTGCTTGATGAACTTGCTCATGCTAAATGGTTTACTAAGCTTGACCTTAGAGCTGGATACCACCAAATTCGCATGGCTCCTGGTGAAGAGTATAAAACAGCTTTTCAGACTCATACTGGCCATTATGAGTATACCGTTATGTCCTTTGGGCTTACTGGGGCACCTGCCACTTTTCAAGGGGCAATGAATGAGACATTGAGTCCCGTGCTTAGGAAGTTTGCACTTGTGTTTTTTGATGATATTCTTATCTATAGCCCTGATTTCTCATCTCACTTGGACCATATTGCTCAAGTTCTCTCACTCCTCTCCAAGCATCAGTGGTATGTCAAGTTATCCAAGTGTTCTTTTGCACAGAAACAACTGACATACTTGGGTCACACTATAAGTGCAGCTGGAGTTCATACTGACCAAGGTAAGATTCAGGAGGTAGTGAACTGGAAGGTGCCCACTACTGTGAAAAAACTTAGGGGTTTTCTGGGTCTTGCTGGTTACTACCGCAAATTTGTTAAGGGATTTGGAGTTATCAGTAAGCCTCTGACTAATCTCTTGCGAAAAGGAGTTCCTTTCATTTGGACTCCTGAAACTGATGCTGCTTTCCATAACCTTAAACAGGCTTTGGTTTCTGCTCCTGTTCTGGCATTACCTGACTTTCAAAAGGTGTTTACAGTTGAGACTGATGCTTCTGATTCCGGCATTGGAGCTGTTCTCTCTCAAGATGGACACCCAGTTGCTTATATCAGTAAGGCTTTAGGTCCCAGAACTAAAGGTCTTTCCACTTATGAAAAAGAGTGCATGGCAGTTTTACTGGCAGTTGATCAATGGAGATCTTATTTGCAACTTGGTGACTTTATTATTCTCACTGATCATCATAGTTTAATGCATCTCTCGGATCAACGTTTGCATACACCATGGCAGCATAAAGCTTTTACCAAACTCCTGGGTCTATCTTATAAGATTTGTTACAGAAGGGGGTCTCATAATGGGGCAGCTGATGCTTTATCTAGGAAATTTCAGCATGATGAGGAAGAATTATGCCACATTTCAGCCTGTACTCCAACCTGGCTCCAGGAAGTTACCACAGGGTATGCCAGTGATTCTTATTCCAGTCAGTTGCTCACTGAATTAACTGTACAGCCCAATGCAAGAAAACATTTCTCTCTTCATGCTGGGTTGCTTAAATATAAAGGAAGGATATGGATTGGGAATAACAGACAGCTCCAATTGAAATTACTAACTGAAGTTCATTCCAATCCAATTGGGGGGCATTCTGGTTTCCCTGTTACTTATAGGAAACTAAAGCAACTTTTTGCTTGGCCCAGTATGAAAAAAATGACTAAACTATTTGTGCAGCAGTGCCAGATATGTTTACAGGCTAAACCTGATAGAGCTAAATATCCTGGTCTCCTTCAGCCTTTACCTGTTCCTGAGGGTGCTTGGCAGGTGGTCTCTTTGGATTTTATTGAAGGTCTGCCTGTTTCAGATCATGCTTCTTGTATTTTAGTTGTGGTGGACAAGTTTTCCAAATATGCTCATTTTCTTCCTTATAAATCACCCTTTCACTGCTCTTGGAGTTGCTAAATTGTTTATGAAGCATATCTTCAGGCTGCATGGGCTCCCACTGGTACTAATCTCTGACAGGGACAGAGTATTTACCAGTCAGTTATGGCAACATTTGTTTGAAGGATCTGGTACAAAATTGCATTTTAGCTCTGCTTATCATCCTCAATCAGACGGCCAAACAGAAAGGGTTAATCAATGTCTGGAGATCTATCTGAGGTGCTTTGTTCATTCAGCTCCTAGCAAGTGGGCAGCTTGGTTACATCTTGCAGAATATTGGTATAATACCTCATATCACTCTGCTGTCCAGTCTACTCCCTTTGAAGTGCTCTATGGTCATTCCCCTTGTCATTTTGGCATCAGTTTACAAGATTGTGCCATTCCTGATTTACATGTTTGGTTAAAGGAAAGGCAGTTGATGCAGAAGCTTGTTCAACAGCATCTTCACAGAGCACAGCAGCAGATGAAGCAT